TGACCTGGTGACTATGGTGACAATGGTTCCTGACCTGGTGACTATGGCTTGTGCAGGACCGGTACAGCAGAGAAACATCCAGCTTGTTAAGAGAAAGAATCAAAGAAATTGTCTCTCTCTGTGTCTCCCTCTGTTACAGCTATTACAGAATCTCCAATTCCAGCTCACTAGCCTTCATTCCCTTTTTTCTTCCTCTTGTTGAAAGGAAAAGGGAAAATCATCCTCAGAAACTCTGAAAGGAGCAAATTCTCAAACACTCAATGAAAGACAACACTGGTGTCTCATTGTTGAAGAAATCAAAAACATTGAAGGGAAGTGAAAGAAAGCAACTCAATGAACAATGTAGTCTAACCTGATGCTATTGACCTGTGCATCCCTGATGTTTCTTTTCATTTTTCCATTCTTAATACTCATGTGTCATCTGTCTTTGAGTATCTGTCTGCTTCTGAAGGGTGAGAAGATGTAGAGTTAAATAATAGAGAGTAATAAGTTAGCAAATCATTATTCCTAATTGTCATTCGCTAAAGATAATTTGTTCGTAATAAATTATTATTTTCTTGTTAAATACAGAGACCTGGTGAGTATTTTCTTTTAACCTGGGTTCATCATTTGGGTAAATTGGAGATGTTGGACAGTTTGGCTAAATCCTTCCACATCTGTGATGGCTCTGAAACAGTGAATCTTGATTTATAGAGCACTACCCCAGTTGTGAGAAAGGGTGCAAAATTTGACAAAACAGCACAACATCCAGGTAAATCCACAGATTCTTTCATTAATGATCTATACAAGTCAGTGGTGAGGTGTGATGATGATTTAAAATCAGAATCAGAAGAGACCCATTATTGTAGGAATTGCTGATGAACCTTTGTCAGATTTATTACTGTCCATAGAAGACCTGGCTCAAGGTCTCATGGGTTTTATTATAAACCAAAACTCACTCTTAATAACTAGTGACAAAACTGATCTAAATTATGATCTGGGAGAAGTGGAACTATCCCAACACAGGGAGTTTAAAGTGAAGGAAACCCTGGGGGACAGTGACCATAATAAGATAGAATTCACTCTGCAGTTTGAGAGGGAGAGGGTTGAATCAGAATAGCAGTATTACAATTGCATAAAAGTAACTTCAAAGACATGAGAGGATCAGAGGATTAGAGGATTAGATAGGGTGGACAGTGGGAGCCTTTTTCCTCGGATGGTGATGGCTAGCATGAGGGGACATAGCTTTAAATTGAGGGGTGATAGATATAGGACAGATGTCAGAGGTAGGTTCTTTACTCAGAGAGTAGTAAGGGCGTGGAATGCCCTGCCTGCAAAAATAGTAGACTCGCCCACTTTAAGGGCATTTAAATGGTCATTGTATAAACATATGGATGATAATGGAATAGTGTAGGTTAGATGGGCTTCAGATTGGTTTCACAGGTCGGCGCAACATCGAGGGCCGAAGGGCCTGTACTGCGCTGTAATGTTCTATGTTCTATGAGGGAGGTGCTTGTCAGAGTTGATTGGAAGGGGAGCCTCGCAGGGAAGGTGGTGGAGCAGCAACGGCAGGAGTTTCTGAGGGTAATTCGGGAGGCACAGCAGAAATTCCTCCCAAGGAAGAAGAAACATACTAAAGGGTGGACAAGGGAAATCAGTGACAATATAAAAACAAAAGAAAAGCATACAATATGGTGAAGATTAGTGGGAAGCCAGGGGATTGGGGAGCCTTTAAAAATCAGCAGAGGATAACTGAAAAAAGCAATAAGGGGAAGAAGATGAAACGTGACAGTAAGGAAGCGAGCAATATAAAAGAAGACTACAATAGCTGTTTTTAAAAATAAAAAAGCAAGAGAGAGGTAAGAGTGGATGTTGAACCGCTGGAAAATGAGGTTGGAGAAGGAGTAATGCAGAACACAGACACGGTAGAGGAACAGAATAGGGACTTTGCATCAGTTTTCACAGTGGAAGACATCAGCAGCACGCTGGAAATTCATGAGAGTCAGGGGGCAGAGGTGAGTCTGGTGACCATCACGAAGGAGAAGGTGCTGGAGAAGCTGCAAGATCTGAAGGTGGATAAATCACCCAGAATGGATGGTCTACATCCCAGATTTCTGAAGAAGATGGCAGAGGAGATTGTGCAGGCATTGATGGTGATCTTTCAGGAGTCACTCAAGTCAGGAAGGGCCCCAGAGGAATGGAAAATGGCAAATGTAACACCCCTGTTCAAACTGGGAGGCAGGAAACTATAGGCTGGTTAGCAGGACCTTGGTCATTGGTAAGAGTTAGAAACTACTATTAAAGATGAGATTGCAAAGTACTTGGGAGTACATGGAAAATAGGACTGAGTCAGCACAGTTTTGTCAAGGGGCGGACCTGTCTGTAGAATCCTTTGAGGAGGTAACAAGCAAGTTAGACTAAAGAGAGCCAATGTACATGATCTATTTGGATTTCCAGAAGGCCTTTGACAAGGTGCAGGATAGGAAGCTGTTAAAAAAGATAAGAGCCCATGGTATTAGGGTCAAGGTACTAGCATGGATACAGGATTGGTTGTCTGGTAGAAGGCAGAGAGTGGGGATAAAGAGGTCTTTTTCAGGGTCTTTTTCAGAGTTAACGTTTCGGGTCTGGTGATCCTTCCTCAGAACTGGTCCTGCTGGGCTTTTCCAGCAACTTTGATTTCTTACCCTGTCTAGTCCTGTTTGAAATTTATGGATTTCTATGAGATCGTCCCCTATTCTTCTAAGCTCCAGGGAATATAGTCCTAACTGATCCAATATCCCTTTATACATCAGACTTGTCATTCCAGTAATCACTCTGGTACTCCCTCC